ACAAAAGAATACTATATGGTTCCATTTATACGGCGTACCTAGGATAGGCAAATTCACAGAGACAGAAAGCAGAACAGAGGTTACCAGGGGCTGAGAGGAGTGTGGAATGGGAACAGTGTTTCTCTTTGGGATGATTAAAAAGTTCTGGAAGTGGGTTATGGTTATGGTTGCATACAGTGGTAAATATCTTACCACAATTTAAAAATTAATTTAAAAAAATGGGCAGAAGACTTGGGTAGACATTTCACCAAAGCAGACATGCAAATGACCAGTAAGTACATGAAAAGGTGCTCAGCATCATTAGTCATCAGGGAAATGCAAATTAAACTACAGTGAAATACCACTACACATCCACTGTAATGACTATAATCCAAGAGAGATAATACCAAGTGATGATAACAATGTGGAGAAACGAGAAATCTCATACATTGCTGATGAGACTGTAAAATGTGTATATCCACTTTGGAAAATTATTTTGCTATGTTTTAAAAAGTTAAATATAAGCAGGGCGCCTGGGTGGCTCAGTTGGTTAAGCGTCTGCCTTTGGCTCAGGTCCTGATCCCAGAGTCCTGGGATCAAGCCCCACATCGGGCTCCCTGCTCTGTGGGAAGCCTGCTTCTCCCTCTCCCTCTGTGGCTCCCCCTGCTTGTGCTCTCTCGCTCTCTCGCTCTCTCTCTGTTAAATAAATAAATAAAAATCTTAAAAAAAAAAAAAAAGGTTAAACATAAGCTTACTTTAAGACCCAGGAATTCCAGTCCTAGTAATTTACCCAAGAGACATGAAAACATGTCCACACAGGCTTGTACACAAGTGTTCATTCATGGCAGCTTTACTCATAATAGCTAAAACCTGGAGACAATCCAGGTGTTCATCAATTAATGAACAGATGAGCAAGATGGGGTATAGCCATACAATAGGATATTACTCAGAAACAAAAAGATATAAGCTATAGGCATACCTTGTTTTATTGCGTTTCCCAGATTCTGCATTTTTTTTTTTTTTTTTTTTTTACAAATTGAAGGTCTGGGGGCACCTGGGTGGCTCAGGCATTAAGTGTCTGCCTTCGGCTCAGGTCATGATCCCAGGGTCCTGGGATCGAGCCCCACATCGGGCTCCCTGCTCCGCGGGAAGCCTGCTTCTCCCTCTCCCACTCCCCCTGCTTGTGTTCCCTCTCTCGCTGTGTCTCTCTCTGTCAAATAAATAAATAAAATCTTTAAAAAAAAACAAAAACAAAAAAACCAAATTGAAGGTCTGTGGCACCCTGCATTAAGCAGGTCTATCACTGCCATTTTTCTAACAGCATTTGTTCAATTCATGTTTCGGTGTCGCGTTTTGGTAATTCTCACAATATTTCAAACTTTCTCATTATTATTACATTTGTTATGGTGATCTGTGATCACCATGGAAGTGACCTCTGACATTACTATCATAATTGTTTTGGCACACCAAACTGCACCCGTGTAAGTGTGTGTTCGGACTGCTCCACCAACTAGTCATCTCTCTCCATCTCTCTCCCTCTCCTCGGGCTTCCCTGTTCCCTGAGACACAACAATATTGAAATTAGGCCTCTAAGTGTTCAAGTGAAAGGAAGAGCCACACATCTCTCACTTTATTTTTTATTTTCTTTTTTTAATTTTCTTTTTTTAATTTTTTTAAAGATTTTATTTATTTGAGAGAGCGAGAATGAGAGAGAGAGAAAGCACATGAGAGGGGGGAGGGTCAGAGGGAGAAGCAGACTCCCCGCTGAGCAGGGAGCCTGATGCGGGACTCCATCCCGGGACTCCAGGATCATGACCTGAGCCGAAGGCAGTCGCTTAACCAACTGAGCCACCCAGGCGCCCATTTTTTATTTTCTTTTAAATTTATTTATTTTAGAGAGAGAAAGAGCATGAGTGAGAGGGGCAGAAAGAGAGGGAGAGGGAGAGAAAATCCTAAGCAGACTCTGCAATGAGTGCAGAGCCCAAAGCAGGGCTGGATCCTATGAAATCTATGAAGGCTGAGAGGCGAGGAAGCCGCAGAAGAAAAGTCTGAAGCTAGCAGAGACTAGTTCATGAAGTTTAAGGAAGGAAGCTGTCTCCATAATATAAAAATGCAAGGTGAAGCAATAGTGCTGATGTAGAAGCTGCAGCGAGTTATCCAGAAGGATCTAGTTAAGATAATTAATGAAGGTGGCTACACTAAGCAACGGATTTTCAATATAAATGAAACAGCCTTCTATTGGAAGAAGATGCCATCTAGGACTTTCATAGCTGGACAGAAGTCAATGCCTGGCTTCAAGACTTCAAAAAACAAACAAACAAACAAACAAACAGACTTCAAAGGACAGGCTTACTCTCTTGTTAGTGGCTAATACAGCTGGTCACTTGCAATTGAAGCCAATGCTCATTTACCATTATGAAAATCCTAGGGCCCTTAAGAATTATGCTAAGTCTACTCTGCCTGTGCTCTCTGTCAGTGGAACAAAGCCTGGATGACAGCACATCTGTTTTACCACATGGCTTACTGAGTATTTTGAACCCACTGTTGAGATCTACTGCTCAGAAAAAAAGATTCCTTTCAGAATATTACTGCTCACTGACAGTGTACCTGGTCACTCAAGAGCTCTGATGGAGATGTACAATGAGATAAATGTTGTTTTCATGCCTGCTCACACACTATCCATTCTGCAGTCCATGGATCACAGAGTACATTCAGCTTTCAAGTCTTATTATTTAAGAAATACATTTCATAAAGCTAGAGCTACCATGGATTAGTGATTCCTTCTGGAAATCCCTCTGGAAAGGATTCACCATTCTACATGCTGTTAAGAACATTTGTGACTCATGGGAAGAGGTCAAAATATCAACATTAGCAGGAGTTTGGAAGAAGTTGATTGTAACCCTCATGGATGACTTTGAGGGGTTCAAGACTTCAGGGGAGGAAGTAACTGCAGATGTGGCGGAAATAGCAAGAGAACTGGAATTAGAAGTGGAGCCTGCAGATGGGACTGAATTGCTGCAATCTCATGATAACACATGAAGAGCTGCTTCTTACGGAAGAGCAAAGAAAGTGGTTTCTTGAGATCCAGTCTACTTCTGGCAAAGATGCTGTGAAGACTGTCGAAACAACAACAAAACATTTAGAACAGTACATAAACCTAGTTGATAAAACTTTTGAAAGAAGTTCTACTGTGGGTAAAATAGTATCAACACCATCGTACATATGGAGAAATTGTTCATGAAATGAGAACCAATTAATGCAGCAAACTTTATCACTGTCTTATTTTAAGAACTTGCCATAGCCACTCCAACTTCAGCAACCACCACCCTGATCAGTCAGCAGCCATCCACATCAAGGCAAGACCCTCCAGCAGCAAAACGATTATGATTCACTGGAAGCTCAGATGATGGTTAGTATTATTTTTATTTATTTATTTTAATTTTTTTTTTTTAAAGTAGGCTCTTTACCCAGCATGGAGCCCAACAGCAATAAAGTGGGTTTGTTTTTTTTTTAAGATTTTATTTACTTATTTGAGAGAGAGAGCGTGAGTGGAGGGGAGGAACAGAGGGGTAGGGACGAGCAGACTCCCCACTGAGCAGGGAGGCTGATGCGGGGCTCAATCCAAGGACCCTGAGATCATGACCTGAGCTGAAGGCAGATGCTTAACCGACTGAGCCACCTAGGCGCCCCCAATAAAGTGTTTTTAAATTAAGGTATGCACATTTTCTTGACATAATGCTACTGCATGCTTAATAGATTACAGTATAGTATAAACATAACTTTTATATGCACTGGGAAACCAAAACATTCATTTGACTTGCTGTATTGCGATATTCGCTTTATTGTGGTGATCTGGAACCAAACCTGTAATATCTCTGAGGTTTGCCTGCACTGATACATGCTAGAACATGGCTGAACCTCAAAATGATTATGCTTAGTGAAAAAAGTCAATCGCAAAAGACTTCATATTGTAAGACTCCATTTATATGGAATGTCCAGAAAAGGCACATCTAGGACAGAAAGCAGATTAGTGGTTGCCTGGGACCCTGGGTAGAAGTGGGGATTGACTGCACACAGATCTATACAAATTTTCGGGTTGATGGAAATGTTCTATGACTGAATTGTGTTGACAGTTGCACAATTCTATAAATTTTCTAAAAATATTTAATTATATACTTACACTGGGTAGATTTTTGTGCCTTATAAATCATACCTCAATAGAGCTGTTAAAAAATAAATAAACACAATCTGACACTGAAAATTTCAGGAAGCATAATTCAGATACAATCTCCATGACTTGAAACAAAGGTTTTCCTTAATCTGTCCACCTACCTCTTATTTATATATTTAAAAATTACAGGTGAAGGACATCACCAGTATTCAGTAATGAAAACCCAGGCCCTAAATGATCTTAAGCTTCTGAGTGAAACTGTGTGGTCCCTGTGATTGTTCAACAGATAGCAGTCAATTTACGAATCTTAAAAATTTTGACAATATTGGCTTTTTATTGGGCTCATTTCAGAGAAAAAAAATAAAGCAATAAAAGGAAAGTCTGAGAAGCAATTCAAATCCTTAAACTGTTCAAGTAATAAACTGTATTATATATAATCATCATGGCCTAGAAACATTTAATCCAAAGCAGCAAAGGCTGACCTAGTAATTGACTTAATAGCTATCTTCATCGATATAAAGGGTTTCACAGAGAAATTATTTGACTCGTTCTTCTCTCTCTCCATTGAAAGCCAAACAAAACAAAGTGATTTAATAGCCAGCAAGGTAAATTTAGATTAAACATAAATAACACTGACAGTAACTGCTATCAAATACTGAAATACATTTAATTAGGATATTTGCTCAGCTGTTTCCTTGGTGATCACTAGAACACACAGGCAGGAAGCTTTGGTCTGAATGCATTACTGCTGGGGGAGGCAGGCCCTCGACTAGCTGACCCCACGCGGCGGGGGAAGGAGCCATCTGCAGGAAGGCAGGCAGCCACCCTGACTTTCACACACCTCACTCACCTCGATATCCCGATTCAGTTGCTTCACGATGGCAGTTATGTTTCTGATGTGCTCCTCCAAGAAAAGCCTGGCCAAGCGGTCACCGCCCCCTTTGTTCTGCATTTTCTGCAAACTGCTGACGATGTCGTCCTTAATCCGGAAGGCGTGCTCCACGAGGGCAGCAGTTGTCTTCTCGTGACAGAGGATCCTATCTTCCAGTTGTTCCACGAGGCTTACAGATGAGTAGGGTGCCATGGTCAGGGACTGGTTGTGTCGGGGCATGGTTCTAACTCGCCTGTGGGAGGGAGCCACATTGCTAGGGTTGTTCGTTGGGAAAAAGTCATTTTCAAAAGGTCAGATTCAAGACTGCCCAGAGAAGGAAATGCAAATTATCTCTCCCTACAAGCTAAATGGGGTTTGAGGCAGGGTTTCTGCCACAGAGAGTTTTCTCGGAGAGCCAGGCATCTTTAAACAATCATACCCAGAGCCTCAACTGTGCTGGTAGCAGGCTCCATGACCTCCAAAAGCAAGAGGTTGGTGGAACTGGGCATGTTGAAATGTGCCCAATTCCAATCTAAGCTTATTGAGACCAAGCTTATTGGGACGCCTGGGGGGCTCAGTTGGTTAAGTGTCTCAACTCTTGATTTCAGCTCAGGTCATGATCTCAGGGTCGTGAGATCGCACCCCGTGTTGGGCTCTCCACTCGGTGGGGAGTCTGCTTCTTTCTCTCTTTTTCTCTCTCTCTCTCCAAACCCCCCCCGCCCCCCCCCCCCCCCCCCTCCCCTTGCTTGCACATGCACATGCTCTCTCTAAAATAAATAAATCTTTAAAGAAAAATCTATAAAGATCAAGCTTATTCACAAAGTCTCCTGACATGCCCTCCTCCTCCATTCCCCTACAGCAGTTTTTTTAACATAACAATAAACTCAAGGTGCGCCTGGGTGGCTCAGTCGTTAAGCGTCTGCCTTCGGCTCAGGTCATGATCCCAGGGTCCTGGGATTGAGCCCCACATCGGGCTCCCTGCTCAGCAGGAAGCCTGCTTCTCCCTCCCCTACTCCCCCTGCTTGTGTTCCCTCTCTCGCTGTGTCTCTCTCTGTCAAATAAATAAATAAATCTTTTAAAAAAAAAAACAAAACAATAAACTCAAATGCCTACAAGGGTCAAGCAGGTGACATAAATGAATGATGTACATCACATATGATACACAGGGAAGGGACTTTGGAGACCTGGAAAGGGCATTCCTCCACTAAAGGCAGCCACAGTTTTGCTCCATCCACAAGTGGCCATCTGGGAATGCAGGTCTGTTTTTCCAGATTATCTCGTATTTCAAGAAAAGTGGGAAATTCAGGCTTGTATGTGAAATCACCTGATTTTTAAATGTTAACAAGTCATTTAAAAACTATTTAAGATAATGCTGGCCAAACAATGTGCTTCCATGAGCCAATTCTGCTCTATGGACCCTCCAATCTACAACTTCTGATTTAAAAGGGTTAGTGGGACATTAGCCCCGGAGCCTCCAGAGTTGTATTTTCCTAGGGACCAGAAGTATAGCTGTACTGTAAGGCTATTATGAAGTCTCCACTTCTCACTATCACTGAGCAGATCCTACAAATTGGATGCTGGAGACGGATGCAACTGCACTTCTCTTGCCCTTGAACAAAATCATCCCTGGGTAATGTAACAGTCACAAGGCTTCATTTATAATAACCATCACACCCACTAGCAGCCCTCATGGGATTGGTGGAAAGGAAAAGTATACCTTAGATGCATATTTTCCATATATTATACCTTTCCTCGGTGACGAGAGAAGGAAATGCAGTGCTCCGTTGGGCCATTTTCTTTTTAATAATTCACATCTGTTGAAAAAAATAAGCATTAAATTATTTAACAGTTTATATCTGGAATTTAAATGATGTCTAAAGCTTATTATTAAGTTACTAAGTGGATCATAAATTATACTGACATACCAATCAGTTATATTATTAAATGTCTTATATCCTATACATGAAATAAACAGCAAATGTTTCCAAATAAGGAGAAAAGAATGAAGCAAAATCAAAATTAATACTGCTAAGCCTTGCTAGACAGATTAATGAGGACTGTTAAGCAGATTGTCTTGAAATTTCCTCCCCCCATAACTGCATTTCAAGCTTGAGAAAGCACTTTTACAGAAACAAGATAGTTTCTTTAAAGGCTTTATTCAATCATGTAAGGTAGGAAACTACCTTAGTAAATCTGATCTCAGCAAATTTAGCAAATTCCATAGCAAATTAAGAGCACTTATTTCTAAATGACATAAATCAAAAAATACATGATCAATTGGATCTGATTTAGGGGAGTCTATCTATCCACAAAGAGAATGAGATTGATATTCATTAAAACTTTATTATAAAATATCATCATTCATATTATATCTTGCCTATGAGGAACATTTGGCCATCCCAACACATTAGAAATTTGAGCAAAACTGGAGAGTTTTTAAAATATTTCATTACTTAGGTTTCTCAATACTCCTGTTAATTGCCTTAAAACAATGAATGCCTAGTAACTGTGATCTGATTCAGTAATTAGTTCTCATTTAGATGCTGGATTCAGAGAGCATTTCTGATTGAAACCACTGTTTTGGCATCAACTCTTCCAGTGTATTATTTTTAGAGTTTCAAAATGTGAACATTTCATTTTCCTAGACAAAGAACTTTGAATTTAAACAAATTACATTTAAGAAAAAAAGTGATTCATGCCAAACAAATTATGATGCCAGAGGAGTTCTTCAGTTCTTAAGATAATCATCTCTGTCATATAGACTACATGAAATTAGGCCAGTGTGGAAGATGTTAAGATTTAGAATCACAGAATCTTTACCATTTTAAAGTTGTAATATACCTTAGTTGAGATATTAATCTATGGAGTAGCCTGATCCAAGAAACATTTATCTGGCATCTAAGATGCAGCTGAGTAGTAACCTAAATACGTATGACAAAATCCTGACCCCTCCAGGACTTCACAGCCTACAGAGAAAGATAGGTATCTAAGTCAACCATGAGACAATGGGATGGCTATGAACAAAAACACACAGGGAGGAAAAAAGGAGAAGCTTTACTTTCTCCTGCGTAGCAGCTAGGTCAGAGAGGAACTAATGAGGAGTAGGATTTCCCAAAGTAGAGGATGGACAGATGGTTGCACACCTTCTTTCCTCAACACTCCAACATCACCTCTACTTTCTTTCTTTTTATTTATTTATTTATTTATTTGACAGAGAGAGACACAGCGAGAGAGGAAACACAAGCAGGGGGAGCGGGAGAAGGTGAAGCAGGCTTCCCGCGGAGCAGGGAGCCCGATGCGGGGCTCGATCCCAAGACCCCGGGATCATGACCTGAGCCGAAGGCAGATGCCTAACGACTGAGCCACCCAGGCGCCCTCACCTCTACTTTCTACGCTCCCAGCAAACTCTGGCCCAGTCCATTCTTCCAGCCCCATACGGTGCCACTCCAGCCACCACTGTCCTTGAATATGTCATGACTCTTCTGTCTTCACACCTTTGTCCATGAGCTCTATGGGAAACACCCTTCTCCTCCCTGCCTGCCTAGAAAATTCCTATTCATCCTTTAAGGCCTCACCTGCCCTTCAACACAATCAAATGGCTCCCTCGTTTGTATTTCTTCAGCACTTTATTCCGTACAGAGACCTGGAAAGGAACAAATTATACTACCTATTATACTCTATTATTTTTAGCTGTTTAATAGTCTGTCTCCCCTACTAAACTACATGCTCCTTCAGGGCACATTTCAAATCTTAATAGACATAAAGCTGACCTAGAAGACTCTTGTCTGTTAATGGGAGCATGACTTGCATGCCAGTGTCAGAAACCACAGCAATGAAAGCATTAGAGAATGTTTTAGTTATAAAGTATAGTTCTTTACTGAGATTGCATCCCAAACAGCCACTCAATATAGTATTTGTAAATGAATGGACACTTTTGGAATCCCCTTTGCTGAAGGTCATTTCATCCCTCTGGAATTTTCCTGCCTGAGCTACAGAAGCCCAGCCACATCACCTTGCTGAAAAAGGAGTCTATCCACCACTCACTGGCTGAGACCGCTTTTCAGTAACAAACCTACTACCAAGCACTATGCACTCTCTAGGACAGGAAATGTCACATGGCATGAGTTCACAACACATACCAAGGTCTGTTCAGAATGGGTGCCCTCTTCATGAAATGTGGTGGGAATTTGTTTGTGAGCTTGCTTGGTTGGTTAGTATCATGATTCTTTGCCAGAACAATGGGATCTATATCGCAAAGAATTAAGGATTAAAAATAAATAAGTCACTGGGCTAAATAACTTCTCAAAGATCATTTCCAGATCTTTCCATTGTCAATTCTGGCTGACCTGCCTGTGGTTATCAGTTCCTGCACCATTTATAAATCTGAACTCTAGCACTACAAGTAGGCCTACAACATTACTAGGCAGATCTGAGTTGTATACTAGTCTGACTCTGCTGTGTTTTGCTGTTATAATATTAATCCCCAGTTTATGAGTTTAAAACACTTGGGGAACTTAGGGGAAGGGACAGGTAGGTAAAGCAAGGAGGGAAGAAGTGTTGAAAGAAATAAGAAAAAGTAAAAATCAGGGGCACCTGGGTGGCTCAGTTGTTAAGCGTCTGCCTTCGGCTCAGGTCATGATCCCAGGGTCCTGGGATCGAGCCCCGCATCGGGCTCCCTGCTCCACGGGAAGCCTGCTCCTCCCTCTCCCACTCCCCCTGCTTGTGTTCCCTCTCTCACTGTCTCTCTCTCTCTGTCAAAAAATAAATAAAATCTTTAAAAAAATAAAGTAAAAATCAAAATGCCCAAAATATGCAATTATCAATAGTGTTTGGGAGTTCACTAAAGAGTAAAGGGAAATGCTATTAAATAAACCAAAATAATTGTGATTATGAGGATTCTTATTATATTTTTATAAGTAAAATGACACTGGGGGCACGTGGGTGGCTCATGTGGTTAAGCATCTGACTCTTGATTTTGGCTCAGGTCATTATCTCCGGGTAGTGAGATTAGAGCCCTGCTTTGGGCTCTGCGCTCAGCGGGGAGTCTGCTTGGATTCTCTCTCTCCCTCTCCCTCTGCCCTTCCCCTCTCTAAAATAAATAAATCCTTTAAAAAAATAAGTAAGATGACACTGGGTAGAAATACCTACAGTATCACTTAATGTAAAATGATACATGATTTTGATAGTGGCAGCTTTAACTGAAAAATGAAATGCCAATCATACAAAAATTAAGTTAGTTTTTCAGTTTACTATCAAAATACAGAACTGATGGGTTCTGCTGATTGTCAGAATTTTTAAAAAAATTGGCAAAGCACTTATGAATAAAGTGGTTGTAATCTGGTGGTAGGGGAAAAAAGTCTATTTTCTTATAGTTAAAAATAGAGGGAAAGAATAGAGAGCAGAGAACAGCTGAAGGTGTGTCTAGAAAGACAGGTGGGAGAGGGAGTCATGCTCTGACTTAGCTCTAACCCACGCTCAGGGCTCAGACTTTGTCCTGGGGCAGTGCTGAGGCAGCGTGGTGGGGGCCAGGGCTAAGAAGGGGAAAGGCAAGCTGCAGGAGGGTCAGAAGAGGGGAGAGGTCCTGGGACCAGGAACTCAGCCGGGGAGGGCAGGAACTTCTGCCTTCCCCTCTCCTCCCTCTTGCTTTCCCACTCTTCTGCTCACCTCTCCACTTCCTTTCCTTTTCCTACCCCTCAGGGCTCTCCCTGCATTTTCCTTTGCCCCTTCCATTTTCTTAACTTCCCATTCCCACTGTCCATTTTCCCTCCCCCTCCTGTCTGTGCTCTCCCAGCCTCTCCCACTCCTGCTTTGTGCACCGGCAAGCAGGCAGGCATACTTCTCCAGCGCGGAAAGCACGGGCAGTGAGGTCAGAAAGACCCTCATTTGAATGCTGGCTTCCCTGCTGTGATCTTAGCAGGCTGGCCTTAGCTTGTTGGGCCCAGGGACCACTTAAATAAGAGCTGCTCACTCTCACCAACTGTTACCCATGTCAGACACTCCTCAGAGCACACTCATCGGCATTAGTTGAATTCATCCTCAATCGGTGAAGGAATGCTCTTATCACCATTTACCCAGAGGAAACAGACTTAGAAATATTCGGCAACCGCCCCAACCACACATGGCCAGGAAAGAACGGAGCAGGGATTTGAACCTACGGCCTCTGCCTCTTCCTCACCAGGCATTACCCACAGCAGGACTATGGGGAATCCACAACCCAGTCTGGCCTTAGGGCAATCCACACGCTCCCAGGAAGGGCTGGTTCCTTTCCTTTCCCTGGCTAATGCACATCTGATGGAAAATACATCTCTTTTTAAAAAATAACCTTAGGGGCGCCTGGGTGGCTCAGTCGTTAAGCATCTGCCTTCGGCTCAGGTCATGATCTCAGGGTCCTGGGATCGAGCCCCGCATCGGGCTCCCTGCTTGGTGGGAAGCCTGCTTCTCCCTCTCCCACTCCCCCTGCTTGTGTTCCTGCTCTCCCTATCTCTCTCTCTCTGTGTCAAATAAATAAATAAAATCTTAAAAAAAAAAATAAAAATAAAACCTTAGATAAATGGTCTAGCAAATAGTACTCATTTGTTAAAGGAGGTAGTATATGGTTTCCTGTGTGAAACTAGTGGGGAAATGACTGGACATCTGCTTTAACCGTTTCATTTGGTGGAGGCTATTCTTCCTGGCACCAGCACTTGCTGAGGTTACAGCTACAGTGAAGCAATGCTTGTCACTTGTGTTTTGGAATCAGGGCACATATGTGAAAACAATAATTTGCAACACACGTATTTTGTATGAGGAAATTTGAAACATTTTAAAAAACACC